CGCCACGGGGACCGCTGGCCTTGGATCCAGTACTGCTAGCCGTCGTGGTGACACTAGCAGCCGATGGCCGCCGCCCGTCTGTGTAGTAGAGCTGCTCGGGAGAGTCCTGCATGCCCAGCGACGAGCTCGCGCCGGTGCGAGACCCCAAGCCGTGCAGCCCGGGGGAGAACTGCGAGAAGATGGACATGTTGTCGGCCGACTCGTCGACGAGGCTCGCGGCATAGTTGGCGGGGTTGGGATGGCCTCGCGGGGGGTCGAGCACGGCCAGGTCGCGGCGGTAGTTGGTGAGGTCGCTCAAGCGGCGGCCGCTCTCTCTCGACGTCGTGGGCGACATTCGCGTGGTGGCGGTCGAGGTGGGCGAAACCTGGAGGTCGTCATCTCGAGAGAGGCTCCTACAGGCGCAGGGACCCGCGTTAGAACATGACATTTGCAGCGTACGGATGGATAGCAGTAGATCGATGAACAACAAAGGCGGCGGGACGGGCGGCCGGGACGAGGTCGCGAGCAAGCGACGGCACCCGGCCCTCCGCCAATACAACGCCGCGGAGGCACGACACGAGACGAGGAAAAGCTGGGCAAAGCAAAGCAAACTCACTTATGGTAATGGGGCGTGGAAGCGTCCGTGTCAATGTGCGCCGGGCCTGTGCCTCCTACACCCGCGCCCGCGCCCGCGCCCACGCCCATGCCGTTGCCGTTGCGCGATGCAGCTTCGGTTGAAGCCGCCGTCGGGGTCGAGGGCTTCGCCGTGATGGAGGATCGAGTGCTGTCGGTGCTGGCGCTCGTGCCGGAGCTGATGCGGAAGGCAGCTTCATTCTCAGCCATTGTCACCTAGGCGCTAGCGGAGAGCTCCAGGCCACTACCATGCGTTCGGAACAGGTGCTGGAGTCGTCGAGGCGCATTCACGTCATTCTCGACCGGGCGGATGCGCTGCTGGAGAGGGTGCGATTGTGATTGTCTTGTCTTGTTGTGAGTGTCGGGCGCAGAGCAGAGGTTTTTTCGCCCTCGACGGTCGTCTGCGTCTGCGTCTGCGTCTGCGTATGTTATGACTATGACGAGGGGCTAGAGATGGAGAGCTGGGATTGTCGGGCTGCGGCGCGGGATTATCCAAGTACAAAACTAAACTCAACAAGCAGAGGCTTTGCCAGCCCCAGAGCAGGTTTGGCAGGGCTGAACACAGTTTGCTTGTTAGCTCTGCTTCCTGAGGGGGTGTGAGGGGGTGGGCGGAGGGCTGGCGGTTTTGATGGGTTGATCGAAATCGAGGCGAGGCGGAGGCTCGGTGGCAGAAAGCGGACAGGCACAACGAACGCACCGAGTCTCACACACACACTCGCTTTAGCAAAAAGTACGTGTACTTGGCCATTGGCTGCTTTAACCGCAACCTCGTCGTCTACTCAAGGTACCTATACTACGTCTAGCATCGGAGCAGCTTCTTGGGCTCAATTCGCTTCGTACCGGGCTGGTATTCACGTAGCCGCCGGTACAACCCAAGATCAATCACAACGGGCAGCTCTCAGACCAAGAGCGTACAACCATCCGACGTCTAAAAATACATGGACAGCAACTTGGCGCTCTAGGCTCACTACTAGTAACGTCTCGCTAGAACTAATTCAACAATCATATCACATGCACACCGGTTGGTTTCTCTTGTGTTCCATGGCTTGCGCAGGGGTGGACTATGTCTAGAGTACAGTAGAGTATAGCCACAAGTATATCACCCGGCGACACATTTCCTCGTCACAATGCTCTAGCGGCAAAGCCCATGAGAAGAGGGGATGCTTGTCTTTTTTTCTCTCTCTTTTTTCCGCTCCAGTTCTCTGTTTTTACCTCTTGGGACGGGCGGGACCGAATACCTACCTAGTACTTGGTAGCTTGAAAAGGCCTCGGCAGCTTTAATACGATGGACTCCATACTGCACTCGTATGTGGTAAGTATTGGAATGACGCTGCCCAATCGACGATAGTGGCATCCAGGGGTCTTGTGTCCAGCACGGCATATGTACATACATGCTGTACGTACATCCCCGGTACATACGCGGCTGGGCTTGTTTTGCAAAAAAAAGCTTGCAGCAGCGTCGGGTCTTGTAAGCAAAAAAAAAAAAAAAAAAAAAAAAAAAAAAAAAAAAAAAAAAAAAAAAAAAAAGAGGTGAGACTCTAGATCAATTAGACGCAGCACGGTGCAAAGCCGCCCGTCAGCCGTCTGTGTGCGAGGGGGGCCAAGGGCTTGCACAAGACGAGATCAGCGATGAATCAGATGGCAGCAAATATACTGCTGCCTGCCCAACCTGATGGTCTTGGCCTGAAGTTGACCAATGCACGGGGAAAAGTGCGCATCACCAAAGTCGCACCCTCTACAGTACTCGTATGTATGTACTCGTAGCTGCATGCCCTCGGCCTCTGATCTCATCAAATCTTTTCAGAAGGGGGGGGTGGTGAATGTAATGCGCAGCTGAGGGCTTTCTGTAGTCGTCGTACCTCTGCCGTCACACTCACACTCGCACACGCAAACGCACGCAAATGAAGACAAGGCAACATGAGATTAGTCGGTCGTCTCATTTACCAGCGCAGCACCATTCACAAACGACCTACTCTATCGGCAGCCGGGATGCTTCGTACATTGCCTGGGCTAGCATTATTAGGTACATCCGCGGTGGCATGGCATGGCACTAGCATGGGCGCCAATCAAACGGGATCGCCCAACCCGGAATCGTTGGCCAGCACGGGCTGAATACAGTATAAGATAATATCCCGTGTTGTGCTAATTAATGCTGCCTACTGTCCCGTGCCTGTGAGAAGTGCCGTGTGCCTTGTAAGCCTCCTGGTCAGCAGTCAAATCAATCATTCTTTCTTTCAGTCAATCGATAGCCATGATTGCTTCCATCCTGTCGAGTCCTCTCTGTGTTCGCATTGGGCTGGGCTGGGCTGAATACGGGAAAATGAAAAATGACGTTCTCCCCGCTCGGGGCGGCGGATACCGGCACCCGCAAATGGGCTGCGGCTACGTGCCAAGTGGGCGCTGATTCCGCAGCTACGGCAGTTCAGCAGCGTCTAGTACGAGTACCTCCGCGCAGCTGCCGTCATGGGGGCGCTGGAAGGTACAGGTACGGAGGCTGCCGTACCCGTCTAGCAGCAACGTGCACCTGTCAGTTGAAGCTTCAAAATTGATTGCTATTTGACCCCCTCATCAAATCTCAATTGAATCGGACTCCGAGCGCCTCCTGGTCACAACATATGCTTCATGCTCCCTAATCAAGCACCGTGCTACGAATGTAGTAATAAAGCACTACCATCGTACTAATAACACCATGGATGCCTTATGCTCTCTTGAGGCTGCTTCCCCCCCTGGAAACCGAGCCGCCTGCCGCCAACTTTTGCGCTGACAGTCTCGCATCTCGCCGTCGCCGGCGCCTGCGCTCCAATCCACTCTGCCGGGGCTCAGGGCCACCAGTGCGCCGCGGATACGGGCCAGGGCTCGAGTCAACTCCGGATTCCATGACATGACATGCCAGTACAGTAGAGTTTGATGGCGGCCGCCGCGGCTGTGCTGGATGACGCTATTCGCTGTATGGTGGTCTGTTGTGCCTCGAAATGAGCGTCACACGTCCATGGCCAAGCTTGGACGGAATAGCCCGTATCGGGAGGCTTGATGCGGAATGCGTTCGGATAGATTGAGTTCCCTCCCATCCGATGACCACAGACACAAGTAAAAAACCCATGATACTGGTACGAGTATGATTTGATGTTCAAAAGGACTCGACCCTGCGTCGTTTCACCGCGACGACAGTCTTGTACCCCCCCGGCACCGTATAATCTCGCTGGCGACATGGTGTCCAAGTCTTCTCCTCACTCAGCCGAGCCACTAATGCCAGATGAATCCCTACCAGGACAAAACCTGAAGCTGGTCAGCTCAGCACCAAACAAGAGCGAATGTCTCGTTGATCGGGGGATCCCTTGTCTGGGCATGACGCCAACACAAACACATGTCAATCATCTGACAGCTGTGTCACAGTAAGTGCAGTGGTGAGATAAGCCCGAGGGAGGATGAGTAAAGGCAAAAGCCTGTGCCATGTCAAACCCAAGCCACCGAACGGGCGTATACTTGCAACAGCACAACCATCGTTCCCCGTCAACACCTCACTTTATCTGCCTCAGCAGCACCTGATTAATTGTTGCAAGAATGGCTGCGCGGCAAACTCGGTCGGCGAACGGCCGCTAGCTCAGAGCCATCCCTGTAGGCAAACCTGAAACCCCAATGTCCCGTCGAGTCGGTAGCAGCTGAGGTGTCAAGTTGATGGTACTTGGTATTACTACATGCTCCGTACCAAGCGTTGGAGATCATACACTGTATTACCAGGCAGACATTTGATGCATAAAGAAACCTATGCATGTGCAAGTAGGTATGTAGCGTCTTTGTTCCAGTATCAAAATGTTACATCTCAGTAAATGCAGAGCTACGGCTGTGATTTCAAGCTACCCAAGTTCAATAACCCCCATTCAACTCAAGGAGCATACATGCACCTTGATACTTATACAGTATCCGTAACTGCATCAGGATTTTGCAACCAACTGTCTCGCCATTGCATCGGCGCAAGATGCGGGGAGATATCCGGCGTCAGACATGACTTTTACCTCACGGCTAAACCTCCAGACGACTTCGTCGGCCCGGCGAGCTCAGTGTTTTCCACGGCCTTAGTTGCCTAGCAGCTTCAATTACGCTCCCATCCCACTATATCCACGAATAACACTGGCCATCTGGCGTTCTTACGGGTCTCCAATGATGAAACTACCTCCACTATCTGGAGATAGCCTGGACGTAGTGTTCTTTACAGTGGGTTAAATGCCCCGCGAACCCCCCGCATACTCTGTAGATACGGCAAACAGAAACACTGAAATGTCCATCCTCGTGCGAACATACTCTCGGTGAATTTGAAGTCTCCAAACACAACCGAAATTGAAACTCCCCTGTACGATCCAGACCTAAAGAACTCCTCAAAAGAACTCCTCATGGGCTCCACGGAACAACTTCGCACCTGGTGGAAGGAGAGTTCGGTGTACCAAGTATATCCGGCATCCTTTCAAGACACCACGGGCTCTGGGACTGGCGATCTCAAGGGCATCATTTCACGAGTAGACTATCTCAAGGACCTCGGCGTGGATATAGTATGGTTGTCGCCCATCTTCGCAAGCCCCCAAAAAGACATGGTTGGTTTAAACTCCCGGCTCTAATTCTCTACCCTACAAGTACAAGTATACATATGTGCGAGTGCTTTTCGTGAGATGCATGTATATGTTCTAATTAAAGCAATTCGCCTAGGGATATGACATTAGCGACTACAGGAAGATTGATCCCATCTATGGAGATATCAGTGACGTTGATACTCTAAAAGACAAGCTCCATGAACGGGGGATGAAACTTGTCCTCGACCTGGTGGTCAACCACACAAGCGATCAGCACGAGTGGTTCAAGGAATCAAGAAAGTCAAAGGACAATGCCTTTCGGGATTGGTATATCTGGCGTCCCCCCAAATACAATGCTCAAGGCAATCGACAGCCCCCAAACAACTGGGAAAGCCACTTTCAAGGCAGCGCCTGGGAATACGACGATACAACGGACGAATACTACTTGCGACTCTTTTGCCGAGAGCAGCCCGACCTCAACTGGGAAAACCCGGACGTGCGCAAGGCTGTCCACGAGGTGATGCGCTTCTGGCTCGATCGAGGCATAGACGGCTTCCGGATGGACGTCATCAACTTCATCAGCAAAGACCAACGATTCCCAGACTCTGATACGGTGGTCTGCCGGGGCCACGAGTACTACGCTTGCGGACCTAGATTGCACGAGTACCTGAAGGACCTCGGCGCTATTCTGAGAGAGTATGATGCGTTCAACGTGGGGGAAATGCCATGCGTGCAAGACCAGAACGAGATCATCAAGGCTGTGGGCTCCGACCGCGGAGAGCTCAACATGATTTTCCACTTTGAGCAGTAAGTCGACCAGGAATCCCGCGAAGTAGTATCATGCGTTTCTGTAAGTTGCGTGTAACCACGAAACTGACTCTTCAAATCCAGCATGGATCTCGACTACGGCCCAGCAGGAAAGTTCTCCCCCGGCACATGGACTCTCGCCAAGCTAAAGACGGTCGTCACCAAATGGCAAGAGTTCATGTACAACAACAACGGCTGGAACGCCCTCTACCTGGAGAACCACGACCAGCCGCGAGTCATCAGCCGCTTCGCACACGACGACCCTCAGCACCGCGAGGCTAGTGCAAAGATGATTGCCGTGTTTCATGCTTTCCAGGCTGGCACGCCGTTTATATACCAGGGCCAGGAGATTGGCATGACGAATGTTCCAAAGGAGTGGCCCATTGAGGAGTACAAGGACATTGATTGCGTCAATCATTGGAAGTAAGCTGATTCGATACCCGGCATCATATACAAGACAACAGCACATATACTCGTTCTGATGAATTTCACACTGATCATTGTTCTACTTCCTCCAGCCTATACAAAGACACCGCAGACGAAGAAACAAAGAAACTCGTCAAGGCAGAATACCAAAGGAAATCCCGCGACAACGCCCGCACCCCCATGCAATGGGATTCATCCCCCCAAGCCGGCTTCACAAGCAGCACCACCCCCTGGATGCGCGTCAACGACAACTACGAGGCCGTCAACGCCGCGTCCCAGACCGGCAACCCGCAGTCCGTCTACCACACGTACCGCCAGGCCCTGCAGCTGCGCAAAAAGCGCAAGGACCTGTTTATCTACGGCAGCTTCCAGCTCGCTTACAAGGCCAACGAGCGTGTGTTTGCGTATAGGAGGAGGGGCGCGACGGAAATGGCGCTCGTCTTGTGCAACTTTTCGCTCGACGAGGTGAGTGTGGGGAGGGTTGATGTGCCTCTGGAGGTGCTCTTTAGCACGCATGGGAGGACGGCGGATGAGTTCAAGAGAGAGCGGCTGTCGCTGGCTCCGTGTGAAGCCGTGGTGTTGCTTGTTGAGCCAACTTTCATAGGGTTCACGTATGCAGCTGAGAATTAGAGTGCTCTAGAGGACTGATGTTGAGATGCAAGTATATTTTTTTTACGACAATTGCTATTTTTCTCTATAAGAAAAATCTCTCTATATAAAGGTATCAGGGAATAAGCAAGATAGAGAGAACATTGACCATCGTTTTGTAAGTCTGCATGTATTTGGTATCGCGAAGCTGCTCTACTCCCCTCGATTACGGATACAGAGCTTGTACGTGCGCAAATATGGCACTCAAACAGCAGCTTAAATCGCCGTGCGCACATGCAAACCTGCACTGACTAATGTTGTCGCTGTCCTTTGAACTTTAATTGTTTTCATTCTGTTCCCCGCACCGTCTGACCAGAACTTGGCCTTCCATGTCCGGGAAACAGAGGCTGTGCAATCAGATCACCCACCGCTTCTAAACCACCACGCAGCTCTTTCAACTTTCTACTGTTATCTACCGCCGACCAGAAACACTGCATCAGAGTTGACTTTGCTTGGCTTTTCGTTTACCCACAATGAGTCTGTATGAGATGCGACTCCAAGCTACCGGAGCCTTTAACGGTAGCTTCTCAGCAGCCGAAACCGCGGACGAGCATTTTCAACGGTGCTGGGCTGAGCAGGCATGCGGAGGATGCTTGAACAGCCAAGGCTGCAGCTGGTGCCCTTATGTGAGCCTCCCTATGCCCGAACTGAATTTACATGAAATCTGCACGTTTGCCCCCTCCCGTACTCCCGACAATCATTTCATTGTGTGGCTCGATCATGGATCATCGCTTCTGACAGCGGAATATCGACGCTTTGTCTATGCAGACGTGGTCGTGCGTGCCAAACGAGTACACCATCCCGGCGCTGGCACCGGCCTTTGCTGGTAATATTTGTCCGCACCCAGATGAGCGGTGGGAGGTCAGGACGAGACCTCTTGGGTGTAAAGTCTCATCTGGTACGGCGCTGGCGGTTGTGGTGGCTGTTTTGGCAACGTTGGCGGCCGTGTTGATCGTTGCCGCAGCAGTCGTAACGGTTGGGAGAATACGCAAGTCCGAACAAAAGGTATGCAGCTGGGAATGTTTATCTCGGTGGAAACAGTCGTTTCAAAACCGAGTCGGCAGAGCGGATCCAGAGCGAGACCCGTTGCTCTCACCACAACAGGCAGACCATGTTTCTCCTTGAAAGTGAATGTGATTTCAGGTCGCACATGTTACTATGCGAAACAAGATGTGGCCAGATGCTCAGCCAGAGCTGACCGGTGGAATGATGGCAACCTCATCTCCCTCTTGGATCAGAGCGCCGTCCTCGCCGGCTTCGGGAACGTCTACATAATCAAGGTTGACCGTTACCAAACAAGAGTCGAGGATTTTGGCCTGGACGCCGGGATACCGCGACTCCAGCTCGGAAAAAAGCTTGCCCAAAGGTAAAGGCGCTGGCAAGCTCTCCGAGTCCCGTCCCGTGAAAGAACCTGCGCCGGCAAAATAGAGCACGCTGAAGTGACCGCGCGGGGGTTTCGGCGCGGATGATGTCATGGCAGCTTATGGAGATGGATGGTTTGCGTGAAAAAGAAGCCCAGTAGCAAATATGATGCGATCAACTCGGCAGAGTAATTGGATGCGTGTTCTAACGACTGCTTCTTCCCAAGTATGTTAGCGTAGACGCTTTCTAATGTCAAACGACAGTTGGAGAATGGGTATGTGTCAAAAGTTCTAGAATCAGAGATCTTGGTGATAAAATGTCACATCATAGCGATCAGGTAATACATGCTATTTTGGAACATCATGCTAGAGAGAAAGATAATGCGAGATGCAAACAAGATTTGCACTTACAACATCCTAAATGGCGAACAAATGGAATCTTGTTCTGGAAGAGAATCGTGGTTTTGATAATTACGAAAATAGGAAGAAAAACGACACGCTGCAATCGGAGGCTTTTTATGTAGTCATCGTTGCTCCCGTCTCCACGTGATGGCCCCAGCCGTCCAAAGCTTCCAATTAAATGGAGATTCCGTTGAAGCTACCTTAGTACTGAAAGCTTGGGCGCTAATAATGGCCTTTTGGGGGACACTGAATTCTAGGTTCTTATTGGAGCTCAGCTTAATTGGGTATCATTTCTTTGCAGACGTGTAAATTCGCAACATCAGAAACGCTGGTCCTATGCCAACTTCTCTAGTCGCTGCTCTAGGTCCTTTACCCAGCCTTCCATGACCTCCACGTTGGTCTTCATGACTTTGTCGCCGTTGTTCACGGTTTCCTCCAGCTTCTCGATACCATCTTTCCACAGTTTGATTTCTGTAGTTATTTCTGCCTGCTGCTTCTCGATCTGGTCCAGTGTCTGGCTGGCGGTTGCGGCGTCTGCGTGAATGGCTCTGAGTGATCGCAAGCGGTCGAGCAGAGGGGGCAATATAGGCGTCAGGTTTTCGATCGTAGGCAGGATTGCGTACAAGGCGTTGATTTTGGCCTCTTGTTCGGACGTGTCCGCCGGAGGGGACCCCGCGTGCTTGCCGAGCTCCTCCCGTAGGGCCTTTGCCTTTTCGCGAGATTCATTCAACTTGTCTTGCTCAGTGGCCAATGCTCGTACCCGGCGACTGATTGTGTCCAGGTTGGCAGTTGACGCTTGCGAGAGGGTCGAGATTTGCTTCTCCAGAGAGTCGAGCGTTGGAAGGATTGCCCGAGGAAGTCCGCCTTCACCGGCCTCTGAGATGGATGATGAACTGATGCCGAGGCTCCTCTCCAATATCAACAACCTGCGATCAAAATCCGCCGCCTTGGCGAGAGCATGTGTCTGCTCGTACGTTGGTGCGTAGGTGATGGTGTATGTAGGCCCAGCTTCGAGCGATCCTGTCACAGCCTCGCCTGTACTGGAGGATGTTGGATCGATTTTCTGGATGCCAGTGATGCCAGAGCGCCTGGACAGGTCATCCAAAGTTTGGCTTAGAGACTCGAGCCTCAGGTCACCCGGGGAGCCGTCATCGCCGCCGGCTGAGGCCCCTTTTCGTTTGGCATATTCGTCCTTGGTTTCTTCCACTTCTCGCTTTAGACGGGCAATCTTGCGTTCCAAACTTTCCACATCGTCATCGTCAGAAAGATCTCCCAGCTCTTCTGTCCCATCCTGCAATATCCGTTGGCGACGGCTGGAAGCTTTATATGATCGTCGCTTGCCGTCGACACGGTCTGAGAAATCCGCTCCGCTGATATCAATGGTAGCTGGGGAGAATCGAGTGCGCGCTTCGTCAATGCGCAACCTTGACCGCGAGATGTTCTGCGTCTCGTCGTCTACTCCGTAGAACTCGTCGTCGGAAAGCGTCCGAGCTGCAGTCGTCTATGCCCATTGTTAGCTATGAAATTACAAAGGGAAATGAAGCTGGAGCTGCTACCGGAACTGTAGAGTTGTCATCTGTCAGCTCTGGGGTTTCGTAGATATCTGGCGCAGAGTCCTGGTACGGGTTAGACGTTAAGCTGCTACGCATTTGCCGCGGAATCGTACCAAGTCTGGCAACGCCGCGTATTTGCGGTTGAGCGCCATGGTAAAATGTCAAGGCTCGATCTTGACGCAAGCCAGCGGTGTGGTCGAGTCTAAGGCTGTTGTTTGTCGGACGAGGGCTTCGAAGGTGAGGTCCTCGGTTTCCGTTTCCAGGGGTCAGCTCCCTGCAAGTACAGGCGCTGGTAGCCTTGCAGCTGCTGCTGTCGCGGGGCACCTGGTACCTGTGGCTGTTATCGGGTATTTGCACAATGTCCGACCGCCTTTACGATGCATCTGTGGATTATTGATTTCCCCTCCCAAACTTGCAGTAATTCTACCAATTCTCTACATAATTTATTGAGATTCCAGAGCGAATTGGCCGCCGAGTTCTGCATCTTCTACTGTCCATCACCGTCCAGGCCATGAACCCCGCAAGATCGATATCCGAGCTTTAGCGATTTGATATGCTATCGAACTAAAAGACGCCGTCCCACCTCGAATCACAATAGCGCACGCGTCCAAGACGCGCTGTGTATCGTCTGACGGTCAAATCTTCAACTGCCGACACCACAATTGGTTGCGAGGCTGCTTGTATTTTTTCAAGAGCAAGGTTTCCAATCCTATCGAGGCGGACAATCTAGCAGCTGCAATTCAATCTTGGTGGCATTGCCATTGGCTGTTTGGCTAAAGTATTGGGATCTTCTGAGCGACATTGACGTTGGAGCTCTGTTTAGAGCCAAGGGACACGCATCATGGGATCAAGAAGAGTAGGGTTAAGCTATCTCGATTCACCTAAGCCTCTACTCAAATCGATCAAGTCCAGGACTGAAGCGAAGACCACGACGGCTACGACCACGACGACAGAAGCGGCACCGAAACCGAAACTAGAGCCCAGGGCCCAGAGTAGACGCTCTCAGATCAAGGTCGAGCCCACTGACGATATATTTGCGCCACCACTTGCGTCTAGCGATTTGGAAGACGAGGGCTCGGCTGAAGATGCAGACGTCAACGTGAAATCTGAACAGTCTATCGCTGACAGCTCGGATTCAGATGCTCCGCCCCGAGGAGCTATCTCGTCAACCACTTTCAAATCCGAGGGCCAAAAGGGTGGGCGCTCAACTCGTCGATCAACACTTCAAGAGGCACCAAAACTAGAGGAAGAACCCGAAGAGTCACAGTCAACGGCCAAGAAGAGGAAGCGCCCATCCGATGGCTCCCCCGAAAAGAGCAAACCCAAGAAAAATGCACACCCCAAAACGGAGCCGACTGTAAAGCCTCTGAACATGGCCAATCACCTCATAGATTCCCATGGCTTCGTCAAGCGATCCGAGGCCAAAAACAAGTTTGGGAAAAGAAACCCCCTTGCTCAGGGAATTCGGCTACTACCAAAAGGTTCGTACAGCTACATGTTTGCCAACCACCATCGTATGCCACAGATGATTAACAACGCGCAACACTAGAAGAGTCGGCCACGCCCGCCAGGTTTCGGCCGCCTCCCGAGTATGGCACCAACACGCCCCGAAAGAGCTGGAAGTTTATTGTGCCAGATTCTGCTGGCTTCGATTCTCCGGTCAAGAGGACCCGCCGACTAATGACCCTTGAGCCTATCCATTACGAGAACGAGAATGAGGATGCTGATGAAGACGACGAAGACGACAATGATACAGTGGCTTACAGCCAACCAGGATCCTTCACAGGAGGTGCTGAACCTGCAACAAAAGGCAAAGCGAAAGGGAAACGAAAAGCCAACCCCCTACGCTCAAGAAAACTACTAAATAGGATCAAGGGGGAGCCCAAAGAAGATGCAGATCAAATAACATCTTCGCCGCCGCCCGCCAAGTTCGTCATGCCCGCACAGCTCTCAGACTTCGTGCCACCCGGCAATGGCACCGGGAACGGCGACGACATTCACGACGGCGACCTGTCCGATGCAAGCAGCAGCGACCTGAGCTCCCTCGGCGGCCTTTTCCCAGACAAAGAAGGCGATGGCGGTGCGCAGTGCCCCTGGTGCGGCGCCACAGTCGACATGAAGCTCCTAAAGGACTTTTCAAACGGCAAACGGCTCAACGTCCGACTTCAAACAAAATTCTGCGAGGAGCACAGGAAGAAATCAGCAATGGCAACGTGGGAATCAAAAGCCTACCCCGACGTCGAGTGGGCCAGCCTCGAATCCCGCTTCAAGAAGCACCAGAACCGCCTCCTCGACATCATCAACGGCTCCGAGGAGTCCTTCTACCGCACCGCCCTCGCCGAAAAGATTGAGCAGGGCCAGGGCCGCTCCATGAAGAAGGAAGAGAACCTCAACCCGGGCTACTACGGCCCCCGCGGCTTCAACATGATGTGCGACTACCTCGTCAAGGAGTACAGCGACATGCTCAAGAAGAAGGCCGTCCACGACAAGGTCATTGCCGGCAGGGGGTCGGCGGCGTTTATCCAGGCCGTGCTGGTGGCCGAGCTGGGCGTGCAGCTCATCATGGAGGACATGCTCGTCTCGCCGGAAGAAGCCAGGCATATACTCGAAGAGAGCAAACCGATAGGAGACCTTGTGCACGCAGACAATTGGTTGTGAATGGGTTGAAGGAGAAAGTGGACAGTGTGAAACGATGTCATGATTTTTTCCGTTGGAGCGATTTTTGGTTGTCATGAGGCTCGGCTTTTTTTGGAGCTCGCAAAAGATATCCCGTCTCAAGTGTTATTAGGATAACGTGTTAAGTATTCAGTTGTCATGCGAGCCTCTTTTGGCGGGAAGCGAGATGCCGTTTTACGACCAGAAAAACATCAAAACTATCAGGTAGGTAACTCTATTCTATGATGATTCGAGACGAGCAAAACACAATGTACATAGTTCATCTTCTATAATTTATATACCGTAACCCAGCAGCTCCAGAACATAAAAAAACAACATGTTGATTTCCACCCTGAATAAGAGTATCAATATTGACTTCAACAATGCAACTCGTCTCCATTAAGCAGCCATTACACTTTCGCTTGCCTCCCGAAACCGACGAACCTGCTGCTTCAATTGCCTCAAGGTTGACGTCCTCCGCCTCGCGCCAGGGCCAAGACCCCGACCCTCAACGGGTTGGACATCGCGAAGCGTCTCCAGCACTTTCAAGTCTGCCAGAAATCGACGCAGTCGCAGGCCAGTCCTGTTACGCACAAATGCATCTACTTCTTCGTCACAAGCTGCCGATGCTGCAATATGCAGACCCCGGAGTACATCTCGATCAACAAGGTCGCCGTCGTCGCCCTCGCGGTCATCCTCCGAGGCTGAAACGCTCTCTCGGATTGAAGATGTTCTTGTGGGAATATTAGGAGGGGCTTTCGCTTGAGATGAGACGCCGCGACTGCTTCTGCAGCATACTCCAACATGGTCAGGATCGAAACTTGGACGAGGCTGGCTTGACTTGGTGTATGGTTTGAACCGAGCCCCTTCTGATGGCCCTCTGTTGAATCTCTGAGTAGGGAGACTTTGGTACGGTCGTCGGTGGGTCTGGTCTTGTTGTGAATTTAATTGACGAGTAAGGGGGGTTTGGGCCGTCTGTGCTCTCTTGGTTCGCGGCTGCATACGAGTGTGCTCCTTTGAACATGGTTCGCCGTCGTAACACCCGCCATGACAATGGGCCGTCGACTTTGTCGGCTGCCTTGACTGGGAGTCAAGTGCATCTCGGGTCCCAAAGCTTTTATGACGTGGGCTTCGTGGGCTTGAATCGGCTCTTGGACGAGTTCTGTTCCCCCGGTCACTTCGCCGAGGGATTACAAGTGGCGTGGGCTTAGGAGGGGGTGTTGGAGGCGAATCCTTGGACATCCTCGAAACAGCATCACCAGATATCTGTCGGAAGTGTGCCTATGACCCATCCGCAACAGAATCTTCATCCCGGGTGAAGCAAGGAAACCAATGCCGCTTTCTTTTCCCCTTGTCCTTTGCGGCCCGCCTCTTCTGTTTTCGAACAGGCGCCTCGTCGATGAGCGCGAACCTCCACTCATCCATGTCTTGTGAAGGGGCAAATGATATCTGGCTCATTGAGCTCCCGCTGGAGTCCTCTTCTTCGAGGCCATCGAATTTCGGCACCTTTGAGTGTTTGCTACCGGAGCGATTGGCACGTCTCTGGGTTGACCTTGTCGAGATGAGTCTTGCAATATAGGCTGGAAAGCCGCGCTTCTGGTCCTTCGATGTCACTGCTAATCCTGCTGCCTTAAACTCTGGACGAAAGGGCATCAATGGGGATACTGTATGTAACGATATATTAGACTTTGTTGGTGTTGCTGGTGGATTCATGTGCTGCCATAAATGCTTAGGTCGCCGGGCTTGTCCATGTCGTCCTGCGAGCTTGTCTGACAGATCTGGCTGGTTGAATGCCCGTGAGTGATTGCCCTGTTGGCTGTATGATGGCTCTCTGAATGGCCGCGAAAAGCTTCTTGCTTGGTTATTCTTTGATATGGCTGAAAAAAGTCGCAGTTGCTGGCACACGCTTCGCGAGATGGCTTCGACGAGAGCAGAGTCGATAGACGTATGCTTCGATGCGCTCGCAAAATCAGCCGCGCCGTCAAGAAGCAAACTATGCGACGAACGAGGGCCTCTATGCATACGCATGTGAGCTTTCCGTCGAACCGGAGGGGGTGAAAAGCCGGTCCTTGCAGAGCAAGTCGACGTCCCGGGTTTTTGAAGCGTTGGTATATGGCTTCGTGATGGTTTTGCAGGAATACTCAAAGGGTTGACGTTGTATTCAGACTGCTGCGGAGGGTCTTTCGCAGGAGGCAGTGGGAAGGAATCCAAATCAACTGATGGTTCAGATGGCACCCAAGATTGGTCAAAGGAAGACGCTCCGTCGAGAGACTTGATACTGACGCCTCGGAAGGCGGTTCTTATGTCATAAGCTGGGCGAATGCAGGGCTGGTCGCGGCGAGCAACGTCTGGAGGCGATTTATGTGTCTCATTGGATGGCATCTCAGCATACGGCTGCTCAGAAGCCATCCCAGTGTCGCTGCTATATACCGATCCAGGAGATGCCATTGGGGGAGAAGCCTTGCGAATCGGCGTATGCGCCCGGCTCGAACGTTTGGAAAGAATAATGACACGGGATTTTGGCCGCTGCCTTTGGAACGATGGCATTACAACGCTGTTGCGGTGTCGGATTCTGTTTCTATCAAGTAAACAAGAGGCGGCCTCGGGAATGGCGGCTAACGTGGCCATTGAGCGAGAGTCCATGGAAATAACGAGAGCTTTACGAGATGAAGCTATTGGAAAGTAGATGAGAAGTAGTGGAGGCAATGATTCTTTGGTACGATGCGATGGCTAAGAAGTTTTGTTTTGGTTGATCTAAGCATGAAGCAGAGGTCATGCAGCTCTGTGTTGTCATTTGGACAGAGAGAAGAACATTGGGGTTTGAGGGGGGAGAGCGGCCATATCGGCTAGATGTTTGATGGAGACAGGAGCGAATGAAGATGGATATCCAAAGTCCAGGAACAGAGCAATCGGCCACAGATGAAGTCCGGGCAGTTGCTGTCTGCGGTTTGCATTGTGGATGGCGCATATCGTGCTGCCCTGTCTCCGAGGTAGGAGGCCATGGCTTGAAGATTGCATGTTCTTTCTGCCTCGGCTCCTGGTGAGTGCGGCGGGCGTCTCACTTACCTGATATCCTTGATACCAGGCGAGGAGTAGACGTCGAGCTGCCGATGGCCTTTGCGGAGCAGGAACTCGATGGCGGCAAAGTCGCGCTTTTCGACGGCCAAGTTGCGTGAGAATTCGTCCCTGTCAAAGAACAACGTGAGCATTAGAATCCGAGGCCCGATATCTTGAGTGTTACCAAGACGTCGATGCAAGTTCATCTCACCTCACAAACTTTTCAAAGTGAGCGCGGGTATTCTGTTATTACTATTAGTTATGATTCCGAATTCTCTTTCCAGCAATGAGCCTTTCATATTGACGTCTGTCTCTCCGTCTGTACATACCTGAGGCTTCTTTCTGCACTCGCGAAGGCACTGGCGATACAGCGCCAGCACCTCCTTCTGCAAGCCCGATAGACGCATCGCTCCCTGCAGGGTTACACGATCAATGGATCGATCAAATCAATGGCCTGCGGTCGTTCGTCTAGCCTATTGCGCCGCGAGTTACGCCGTTGAAGCGCTGTTGAAGAGGCTGGCAAATCACCGGCCCATAGTTGGTGGAATATTTGCACGTCTCGCGCCCACCAACTGGGGAAATGGGCTCTTTGGGGGGAATATCGAGATGCTTGTGTGGGGGGTTCGGCGCCAGAGCGGAGTCCGAGTTTGTGGAGGGTAATCGATCAACCGTTGACGGAGTTATCTTGGTAATGCTGAGAAGAAGAGCACGAATCGCGACATCGGATAAATCAAAGGGGCTTTTTTTTTTGTTGACACTCTATAGAATATTTATTATACGTTTTGTTGGCATTTCCTTATGCAGTAGAGTATTTGTTATATTTGTTGCCTTGTATTTCTTACATCAATCAAGCCATCATGTCTGCCAGATTTACTGTACGGATGCCTACTTGTACCCTCATTGCAGCTTAACATGGAACACTAGACTAACAACAACAACAACAACAACAGCGCCTCATCCGCTTCTTGGCCAAGGATGGCCGCACATATTACGGCGATGCCATCTTGCCTCAGGGCGTCAGTGACGTTGCCAAAGCTCAGCGCGCCCGTATCGTCGAGGGTGACATCTTTGGCAAATATAACGTGACGGACCAAGAAGTTGGCGTACGCCTGCTGCTGTCCCCCTTGGCACAGTCTCACGTCAAGACAGTTCGATGCTTGGGGCTCAACTACGCCAAACATGCCAAAGAATCCAACTTGCCAGAGCCCAAATACCCCGTCTTGTTCTACAAGCCCATCACATCTCTCTCCGGCCCCGTTGACCCCATTCCTGTCCACCCAATGGCGCAGGAGGGAACCGGCCTGGACTACGAATGTGAGCTTGTCGTGGTGATTGGCAAGAGATGCACAGATGTGTCCGAGGCCGACGCGCTCGACTATGTGTTGGGATACTCCATTGGCAACGATGTGTCTCACCGAGACTGGCAGCTCAAGCACGGAGGAAGCCAGTGGTCTATCGGCAAGGCCTTTGACGGCTGGGCGCCCTTTGGTCCAGCCATTGTCACGGGCGATGTCGTCAAGGATCCCCAGAATCTGAAAATCTGGACCAAAGTCAACGGACAAACCGTCCAGGTATGTGATTGGCACACGACGACTGAGAATGTCAAACTGATCCATGGACAAAGGACGGAAACACGGCAGACCAGATCTTCAGCGTACGACAAATGATATCCTTCCTCAGCCGCGGCGTGACTCTGTTGCCAGGAGACGTCATCTTCACGGGTACGCCCGAAGGTGTAGGAATGGGCCGGAAGCCCCAGCTGTGGCTCAAGGACGGAGATGTCGTCGAGGTTGGTCTTGAGAGTGTCGGCACGTGGTACGTTAGCATCTTGTCCCCTGATCCTTGGAGAGGTGAAATAAGCAAGGCGACGCTAACAAAGGGAACCTTTGCCTTGCATCCAGCACCAACAAGGTGGAGTTTGAGGCTCCCAAAGCTAAAATCTAGCCGTATGAGGGCCAGAAGCTCCTCGTACTTTGATGACGAGCATCTGTGGTCCAGCTTGATGGATGCGGCAGGTGTTTGTGCTATATGAGGCTCCGGGGATACGGAGAGAGATGTCAGGTCTCCTATCCCATTAGGTAGGTATTCTGTAGTAGGAGACCTGTGTGTGGCCTCATAGAAACGTGCACGATGAGGAGGAATGCGGTTGCGTGTTGCTGCTTAGGCACCGGCAAGCAGCGATGTATATCTTTGGCATTGGATTTGCGATTTCTACCTATTACATTGCGAAGTAGAGTGGGTTTTTTTTTTCACTTGATCGAGAATTATATATCCGATTAATAGCTTGTTTTCGTGTTAAAGGACATGAACATCATCACCACCTACAGCATGAAGCATATGGATGTGTTTTCCGATATTGACGCATCCATCTCTTCTCTCTCTGATAAGAGTGACGGCTACAGGGTGAATCAAAGTTATTAATAGAGTAATATCGTGGCAATGCTCTCTAATGCACGCTCGACACCAGGCCTGAAACCTAGATTGATAAATTCCCGGTAGGATTGCGCGCCTTTAATTCTGGCAAAATATCCATCTTAATGCCTCCATGTACGTGCACGTATTATTAGAGGTCGACTGGACCTGATAAGGCGAGTTGCTAGTGCATCCCAGGCGCCCACGTGGAAGCTTCCAGTGGACAGAATCCAATTACCCGTGCGGCTGAGGCGCATCTCCAACTCCTTGTAGTTTAACCCGCCCATCCCGTAATCGACTTATGCCATGCGATCGTCCTGCTGCAGCCCCAGTTTCTCGCCTTGTTCGTGAAACAGCGTCAACTGGGGGTTTCGTCATCTTGCTGATTCCGGTTTCCCCGGAGCCCGGCAGCGCCAAGCTCAGGCAGTCAACGAGCACTCGATCAAGTCGGCGTCAAAGCGGCCAAACAGCCACCCGCGATGCTTCCAAGACTCTTCGCCTCGTATTCCCGGGAAGCGATACCGACGAGAGTCCATGTCCATGTGTCTATCTGTGTCCGGTCGGTGGCTGAAGCAGCGCTAGTAGCTCAGCTGCAACGCCTCGCAGCAAGTCTTCTCTCCACCTGCCGCCAACGAGGAGTGAACAGCAAGGCGAAGCCATCTCCGGCGGTGGTGCGTGCCGGCATCTTACTGGCCCGGGTTTGCGCAGAGAAACTGGCTTGTTCCCCCGCGAGTGCTTGGCTGGATCGCCGTCTTGAGCATGGACATGGACTAGGCCACGGAGGAGGCTGACTTGCTTGGGTCAGGGTGCCTTGCTCGATGGATGAGCAGCAGCAGCCTAAAGCTTGCGGCTCTTGGCTAAGAGGCCGTCTGATGCCGATGCAGGTGGCACGAGTCCATTTATAGCGTCATGTCGTAGTTGTTGTGGCAGCTCACCGTAGCTGTTGAGCTGTTATCTCGTCTACATACTTTGGTTTACAAGAGGAACATCTTCAGATTCCAAAGCTCTGCGGTGTTCTGCCGTGTCATTTCGAGTGTCATCCTACCAAGGCACGCACTGTAGGACACACGTGCGGCTTCTGCTCTCCTCGAGCAGAAACACTACAATGACTACATCCACGGTCGAGCTACATACCCTCGTGTCTGCATCTCTTGGGCCAGAGGACTGCATCGACTTTTACGAAAATCCATATACGGCGCTAGGAAAGCTACAAGATGCTGTCAAAAGCAAACAACTCGAACCGCCAATTCCAACAGAGAAACCAGCCGATGGGGACATCAATGGCATCGACTGGCATGAATATGACCCTCCGGTAGCACTTAGAAAAACGCCCAACGTCACGTCTCAGATCCTCTTAGATATCGTCTTCACCTCGATTGAAAACGTCAAGACAAAAGTCGGCGAAGAGCAACGTCGAAAGAAAGAGGCCGCAGAGGAGGCTGCTCGTCGGACAGCAGAAGAGAAATCAACGGCAAAGGGAAAGGAGCCTTATTTGCCCATATCCATTCCTCCCGAGAATCCTCCAGCCATATCATCAAGTAGCAGAGTCAAGAATTCCAAGGATTTGGTCATGTCAGGGGCGGTGCCGGATTTCGTTCTCTTGGACCCCCTGGGAGTACCAATCAAAGAAGAGAAACGTCGAAAGTTTGCTCTACGCAATTTGTTCCAGCGAAGTCCACAAGGGGGAGAAAGCAGTGCCGCCGGGCGAGCTCGTGAAGCTCTTCAACACAAAGTAGAGGCCAAGATTATGTCTGTCGACTCGAAGTCGGCCAATCCGAAAACTTTGGAAGCCATTACTGCGCTCAAAAAGACCAGGCTATTCAAGACTGCTAATCCGAATGCACTTGTGTAAGTCGTTTATATCCATACCCGACCTCTCGACTCCATCTCTTGTTCTGGTTTCTTCGAGCTAATCACGCGTGTGTTTCTCTTTCTAGCGAATGCGTTTCATGCCTCGACGACGTCCCCGTGAAAGATACGGTCAAGGTTCCATGTCATAGCTATTGCCGCGACTGTTTCGTCCGTCTAGTAACAGCAGCAGTTCAAAATAAACAACAGTGGCCGCCTAAATGCTGCCTAAATCAAATCCCCTTCAAGACCGTTCTGAAGAATATTCCCGACGACCTCAAAAAGACGTTTCACGAAAGATCATCGGAGTGGGAAATTCCCGTCAGCGAGCGAGTATACTGTCATGTTCCTGACTGTGGCGCCTGGATTAAGCCTGGAAAGATCAGTCTCGCCAGGCGTCAAGCTCTCTGCAAACGCAATCACGTTACATGTACCATTTGCCGAGGCCAAGCGCACGGAAACAACGACTGCCCTCAGGATCAAGATTTGAACTTGACCAACCTCCTAGCAGAGGAAGAAGGTTGGAAGCATTGTTACTCTTGTCATGCCTTGGTGGAACACAAGGAGGCATGCCAACATATGACGTGCAGATGCGGTGCTCAGTTTTGTTACGTCTGCGGGCTTCGGTGGAGAACCTGTGGGTGTACAATGGAACAGCTACATGCCATCAAAGGGGCTGCCGAAGCTCGCAGGGGGCAGAGAGTAATCAACGAGAGAGCAGAAGCAGAGGAGCTGCGCGAGATTCTTGCCCAGATCGAGGAGTTTGAGCTCCAAGAAGCTTGGAGACTCGAGATTGAAAGGCTTGAGCAGGAAAGGCTGGAACTGGAACGTTGGCAAGCCGAAGTTGAAGAGAGACTAAAAATGGAGGAGATCCGCCGTCAAGAGGTTGAGATCAAGTACCAGCAGCTACGCGAGATGCTGGATGAACTTCATGAGCTCCAACAGGTCATGGCTGATTCGAAGCAAGACGAAGATGCTAGAGACCTAGCTGCGGAAGCCGAGTTAGCCAAGATACAATTGGAGGGTAGGCAGCAAGCTGAGCGTGATAATCTTGACTCTCTAGTGCAAGTCAAGCTCAGAGCTAGAGAGGATAAGTACGCCATGGAATATGCTGCTCGAGTGGACTTGGAGCGTCAACTGGAGGAGGGTTACCTAGCTCAGCTTCGCGAATTTTGGGCTGATAAAGTTGATGGGGAAGAACGGGTTGAAGCAAGCATGTTGCCATTACGCCAACGCATGGATCTGGCGTACAGGACGTGGCAGAGGTGGAGGGACGACCAATTGCACCATTACCGCACCAAGCTCGAGGAGGAGCGAAGTGTAAAGGAAGAGCTCATGTACAGCGCGAGAAGGAGGAACGACGCAGCGTATGTGGACAAGGAGACGGACCTGACGAGGCGAATGGTGGCGGAGAAGAAGTGGATTCAAGAGGTGATTCTGGAGCGTGAGCGATTGATTGTGGGAATGGAGCTTCGAGAGACTCAAGACGACACGGATAGTTTGTTCGCCGTGGAGAATCAAGAGAACAACGAGTGAAGTGGGCTATGGGAATGGGCGTATGGCGAATTGGACAAGGGGCCTTTGCATTATTGGGCGTGTAAGACAATCTTGGCTCAAAGTCATTTGCATACCGTTTTTTCTTTTTAATCCCGGGCACAGATAGGAAATCAGAATATCCAAGCCTGTATCCACAAGTGTTGTGAGAATGGGCAAGACAATGCGAGACTTGCTTGAGGAGAAAAGCACATGAGTGCCAGGCAACTTGCCATTTACGGTAATTATATCGACATCACCGGCCACGGCCACTAGGTAAGAAGAAGCTTTGACATGTTGATGATGCTATTATAGCCTTCCCGCCACTTTACTCTCTTTGACGAACGAGTTAGAAGACTAACCGACAGCTGTGAGAAGCACTGCATCAACGGAAGTCGGTTCTCGGAGGACAATTTTGAGATGGTCCCCTTTGATTATCGGCGGCGGCTCGGGGCGCGGACGCAAGCCGTCTTACTACGGTCAACGGGATGGAATAGTCGAATTTCTACATGTTGCTTGTCCCCTGGAACTAAGAATCTGATGTGAGCAGTAAAACAAGTATGAGCACGGACGAGATGAGATGGGCTGCTTTTGGTTTGGTGTTTTGAAGGGGGTTGCAGTTGAGTTGACTGGGGTGAAGAGACTATTGCTCGAATGGTTGTACGGACATGGAACTGCTATTGTCATCCTTATTTGTTTAAAGGATATTATTTCTGAATAATGCTACATAACATATTAGGTGCTATATGAAGAATGTCACCAATACGAGTGAATAAAGCGTTCTAAATTGGTGGTTCCATGGAGTACAGAGATGCTTCTGAGGCTCTCGAGGGGTTGCCCACTTGTCCATCTCTTTTGGTGTTTATTCGCAAACCATTAACATTGATAGAGCCGAAGCGGACATGGTGACTTATTTACTTAATTAGGTGCTGTGCTTTGTGAACCTCACAAGGGCAAAGCCTTTTCTTTCATTCACACAGCCTCGGTTCTCGTTGGTCAATGCCCAGCATGGAGCTAGGCGCCAAAAGAGGCAACAGATTGCGAGTCTTGGAAACAATCGGGTTACATTGGCAACGGCCAGACTCCAAAGTACCAGACAGAGCACTGCCCAAGGTCTTGATAGGTGACGAGAAGCTACAATGTCAGTTCTGAGCTTCATAACCCAGCCATCCACGATGATAATGTGCCGCTTCCATGGGGCTCCAAGTGCTAAAACGTCCATGTTCGAGGCCACTAAAACGCGCCTCTACAGCAGGCAAGTGCGCTAAAACAACTTGAAACCGAGACGCATCGACCCCCGCATTGGCCTCCATCATTTCGCCTCCATGTCTCTCCAATTGTCCATGTCCAGATCTTCCAGCTGCTGGCCTAGCCCTGGCCGCAGACTGGAGCTATTTCGAGAGCGGCTCATCCAATCTGGATTGCTCGAAACCGACCCCTTGGCGGGAAACGCTGGCGTCTGATAGGGCGCCTAGACCAGCTGTAGGGTAAAGCTGGAGCCGGCACTTTTTGCATCCGAGTCGGGGGGAGATTCGAAGCACGGCGTGTATCAGCACGTCGACGGTCCGTCGCGCCAGGGTTTGGCCAGAACGCCTTGACATGAGGTCGTCAGATGGAAACAAGACGTGAAACGGAAAAGGGGGGGGGGTTGTGTTGAGCGGCAGATGGGCTCTGCATCGACATCACGGCGCAGAGGCGTGGGGGATTGGGATTGCACTCGCGTCTACAGTACAAACATCATCGCCATCGCCATTGGGCGAGCATCATCAGGCGGGCGCATCTCGAGGACACGGCACTTGCACTTGCACCCATGCCAGCGGCTACTCGTACACGGAACGTGGAGGCTCTCATCCTCCAGGCCGGTGACAGACAGGCCCTTCTGCTTGGAGCCACGACGGCCCAGCGCAAGGCAAGCGAGCGAACGAAGAAGCAGCAGACAAACGCCAGCCCAGTCGTCGCAGGTGGCTTTCGCAAGTTTGCTTCCAATAAAACAAGCGATGCAGCCCCTTGGCCAAGGACATGTCACAGGCGTCTCAGCTGGGGGACGAGGGGAGGCTCTCGGTTTGGTCCCGAACGATCCATGCCCGATACAACATTCAATCTGGCACGCTGAGCTCCGTATGTGGCATCGCGGCCCCCATAGGCCTCGGCTCCAGACAATCTAATACTGCTACTCCCTCGACTACGGATAACGCGAATTCGAGTCAATGGCATGGATTGCTTGTGCCTGACGCTACTGATTTGCACTTGTACGATACAGAGCACTACATCGTTTCTACAAGCAGGATTCAAAGCGTCAGCCAGGCCAATGCGCCATCCATCGTTGTACAGCACACGCCCCTCCCCGACTCCATGACAGTAGAGTCGCATTGCAAATCTGTGATGAGCTCCCTCCTCCACGGAAACAACGGAACGGCCAGGGGTGATGGCAGGAGCTCTGGCTTGGTTTATTTCCCGGCATGCGTTTCGGGACCTGGGCAGCGAGGCGCGAATTTGTTTCGTTGAGCGCCATGCCGTGCTTCGCTTCAGTCCCATCTTGGAATAAGGCATCCCGTGGCTACGGCGATGGAAAGGAGAATGCATATAATAAGCCCAGCACACCCTCAAGTCCCTCGATGTTTTCCTCAGACCAAACAATCCATTCTTATTCAAGTGATACCCCAATTGCAGGCGATTCGGCAGTTTATTCTTCTCCTTCATTCTCTTTTTAATACCAAAACACCCGCACAAAACAAAACAAACAACCGCCAACATGCTCTTCACATCTCTCGCCGTTGCCACCCTCTCCGCTGTTGCCAGCGCAAAGACCATCCGCATCGACGTCGGCATGAGTGGTCTCACCTTCAGCCCCAACGACATCAAGGCCAGCGTCGGCGACATTCTCGAGTTCCACTACTACGCCAAGAACCACAGTGTTGTTGCTGCCGACTTTGCTACTCCTTGCAAGCCCAAGGCTGAGGGCGGCTTCTACTCTGGTTTCTTCCCTACCGCGTCTGGCGAGAACGTAAGTGGCAGGGAAACCGTATAAGCTTTATGCAGCCGCATGTGTACTGACAGCCATGTCCAGGAGAACGTCTTCCAGGTCGAGGTCAACAACACCACCCCCATCTGGTTCTACTGCTCCCAGACCACCGGCAACCACTGCGGTGCCGGCATGGTTGGTGCCGTCAACGCCAACGCCTCCTCCCCCAAGACGTTCGACACCTTCAAGGCTGCTGCCCAGAAGATCACCACCAACGAGTCTCCCAGCACCGGTGTCTTTGGTGGCAAGATCCTCTCTGCTGCCTCTGCTACCAAGTCCGGCGGCAGCAGTGCCACCAGCGGTGCCCCTGCTGCGGCCTCCACCACCAACGCTGCTGCTACTCTTGGCTCCGTCAGCGGCATGGCCATGGCCATCGTCGGCGCTGCCGTTGCTTTCGCCATCTAAGTGTTGAACGAACCGGGTGGATTAATGGGCAAATTGTGAATATACGTCAACATGTACAACGAGTCAAGAGATTTTTTCTTTTATGAGAGTCAGCGTGCGGAAAAGCAACCAATAATTTCATAATTCCCTGCGGCGAGGCTGGCCTCTTTTTTTTTTCTTCAATTTCTTATACCGTTTGGGTCAAGCAAATTACATAGACGCCTTTGAGGCGAGTGAACGGGGGGAAATCAGTCAATACAATGATTTACACTCTCAACTTGTATGCTTTTCATCGTCAAAAATAGTGATACAGCATGATATTATATGATTCTTCACGGTTAATTGAATGCATTTACACGAGCATGATTGCCCTGATGAAACGGGTATTCAGGCATTTAGCACTTATAAGGTGGTTGAGATGTTTCGACTCAGCTAAGCAGCCAAGACTTTTGGTACCAGTGATGTGCAGTGGGGCTCTGTCAGCCTCAGATGGCAGTAAATCCAGGCCAAATTGGCTTATTCACACTGACACTAACCAAGGTCTTGTCATCAACCGTCTTCCAACGAAAACTTACACAAGCCCATATCATATCAAAAACGCACAAAGCGAGCCTCAAGCTGCCCAGCATGGGCTCCATCACCAGAGATGAAGATACACCCTCAGCCTCCTCACAGTGAGTCTCAACCCAATAAACACATGGACATGTTTTTTGTTTCTAAAGCCGGCATCGAATTTTCAGCGGTGCAGGGTAAGGCTTGGTTTCATCATGACTAACTCGCTGTGACATTTAGTCCACTCAAAATCTTTGATGCCGCGAGGAGGCAAGATCGGTTTCTGTATGCCTGTGCGCCGATGGTGCGCTACAGCAAGGCAAGTCTTGACAAATGAATCATAGTTTCCATGGTTGTGAGGATTTTTCCTGAAGAGTTTCGAGCTGATGGGCATCATCGCCGCAGCTTGCCTTTCGCCAGACGGTTCACAAGTATGGCGTTGACCTGTGTTGGACGCCCATGATCCTGGCCAAGGAGTTTAACAGGAATCAGTTTGCCAGAGACAGCGGTAATTATACCCCTTCCAACCACCAAACAGAGTGAGATGTGAGAAGAAAAAAAAAAAGAATCAAGGCCAACAAAGAAAAAAACAAAACTGCAGACTTCACAGTGTCCACCTCCGGCGTCCAGCCTCCCACCATAGTCCAGTTCGGCGCAAACGTGCCCCTGGAACTCGCCCGCGCCGCAACCCTCGTCGCGCCGTTTGCGTCGGGCGTGGACCTCAACTGCGGATGCCCTCAGTCGTGGGCCTGTGCGGAAACGCTCGGGGCCGCGCTGATGAACAAGAGAGAGCTGGTGCGCGACATGGTGGTTGAGACGAGGCAGCATTTGGCTAGGGACGGATGGGCTGTGGGGATGGAGGAGGATATGGAGAGTCCCAAGGGCCGTAGCGTGAGCGTCAAGATACGGGTTCACGATGATTTGAGGTAAGGGGGGGCCGATGTATCGAAACCTACAAGTGAAGCACTCACACTCACACTCACTCAAAACTCAGGAGAACAATGGACTATCTCGACACAGTCATAGGACATCCGCAAAACCGCCTCGTCGACTGGGTCACCATCCATCCCCGAACGCGCCACACCCCCTCAACAACCCCCATCCGCACCGAAGCCCTCGAAATCCTCACCGAAAAGTACTCACGCACGCTCCCCATCCTGCTCTCCGGCGACGTCTTTGATCTCGCAACCCTCCCCGTCAGGTCCACCTCCCCTCCTGACCTCGCAACTCTCACCACCAAAGAAGACGGCAGCAACATCTCCACACAGCAGCAGCAGAAGCCCAGCAACACGAATCTCTCAGGCTTCATGTCCGCCCGCGGCCTCCTCGCCAACCCGGCCCTCTTCGCCGGCCATTCGGCGTGCCCCTGGGAGACGCTCGAGACCTTCATGTGCAATGTGGCGCGGTGCCCGCTGCCCTTGAAGTTGGTTGTGCATCACGTGCAGGAGATGTGCGCGCCGGGCATGGGCGACGACAAGTCCTCGCTGCTCAGTAAGAAGGAGAGGGCCAAGTTGGTGGATTTCGCAAACATGGCGGACTTGATTGACTTTTTGGATGAAAAGATTGAGGAGCACACTGGGCAGAAGGGGATGAGACGGGACTTGTGAAACAACTGGAGTAAAACAAGAAACTTGAAGGAATAACATGACAAAAGAAAAGAAATCGGGTGTTGGCGGTCCTCTCTGGCTCAACTGCAAGCCATGACATTGGATATCGTTATATGGCTACCTCAGGCGTTACTTTTGAGTGCTCATCGAAGCTTGGTTTAAGAACACGGCATGAAGCCAGCATAAAACAGAATTTAAAAAAAAGAAACATAAAAACCATTCACCTGGGTTACGACATATATATACTCCTATAGATTATAAACCGCTCAAAATACCCCGTATGCCCACAGACCCCGAATCGTCCCGCTTCTCCACAAACGCCTTGAAATCCGCCTTTGACAGCTTCCCCCTGACCGAGTTCGACCCGGGCGCCAGCGTCCTCACCTTCTCCCTCAGCGCCTCCGGGCCGACGATGAAGAGCGACCCAATCTCCGTAAGCATCTCAATCGCCGTCTCCACGTCCTTGGCCAGCGGCCACGCCCGCAGCGTCGCCACGTACTTTGCAATGTCCTGCGTCACCATCAGGCCGCCCGTGGCGTTGACCTGGAACCGCTTGAAGTGGTCAAACAGGTGCGAGTGAAGCACGAGGCCCAGCTCGCTAAAGAACTTTTCCGCGTTGTGCCCGTCAATGGCCTGGCTGGCGAGTTGGCTCGCCCGCGCGAGGAACTGGCAGATGTGCAGGCACGTGGCGGTTTGGAGAGACTCCAGTTCGCCGTCCTTGGGCCTAAAGTCCTGCTTCTTTTGTGTGCCCAGCGACTTGATGACCCAGTTCACAACAACGTCGATGGATATTTTTATAACGGCGTTTGTCTTCTTTTCAATGGTGTCAATGGCCATCTTCTTCTGCGCCTCCATGCTCTTGCGCACAGTCGTGTTGGACTCGGCGAGTCGAATGAGGACCGTGCTGATGAATCGTTCCATGAGGCCCGATATCGTCACGCCCGGTCGAATTGGCGGTAGATACGACATGTCTGGCTCGGTCTTTGTGTTCTCCAGAATGGTGGCCTGAGAATGTGCTGCCTCAAGAGCGGTGTCGATGTAAACCTGACCCATGTGTGTGAGGAGCAGGTTGAGCAATATGTTGACGTCCTTCGGTGTATCGATCTGAGACCCAAGCTCGAGTACTCTCTGGACACTCTCCGCCAACCATTTTAGCATCCTCTTTGCGTTGGCTACCCCTAGTATTCCGTCTTCATCTGCCACCTCAATCTCATTTTTGTTGTCGCCCTTGTCTGACAGGCCGGCGACTCGCAGCATCATGGCCTTTTGCGTGGCCGACAGCTCTGACGACTCCAGACGTTCAAGATAGGCGTCTTTGGCAGATTGGACCACCTGCGCGCCTTGCTGGGCCAAGGAGGCCATGAACCCAGAAGATGGCGCCTTCTTTCGCCTTGAGTGAAATATACTAAACTTGAAGAGCAAGGAGCCGTATAATTCTTCCAAGCTCTTCTTCTCCCGCTCGATGTAGACGCTTCCCACAAGAAAGGGGACGAAGAGCTCGTCCAGCTGCTGATCCAAGGCCTGTGCAATCTGCGCAGAGCAAGGCTCTGGGTGTTCGGTCAAGCCGTGCATCTTCAAGTCTTCTACTAAGGAGCCGATATAACTCCTCGATGAGTGGAGGGATCTGAGGAACGCCAGGGTGGACACCGATTCGGCTTTGTCGAGGACCTTCTCGAGCCGCTGCTGTATAGACTGCTGGAAGACGCGCTGAATGAACTTGATGAGCACCGTCTCGTAATAAGGGAATGCTCGCTTGATAATGAACGATTCCTCTTGCATGACAATCTTGACCTCGTCAATGAGGGATTGCAGACTCGGTTCGATGCCCGGCGGCTCCACGTCCGGGTCGGCCAAAGCCTCCCACATTTCGCCATCGGCTGCCATTTCGTCGCTCATTAACTGGTCCCGGTCAATGAAGAACTGATGCTGATTTACAAAAACCGCAATGACACTGGCGCCTCCGTTGAAATCGTATAGCACCTTTGCGCATTCCATCATGTCGTTAAAATTCTGCCGCCTGTAGCTATTGTTGAACTGCTGCAATAGATCCTGCTCAAGCGTCTCGCAGAACTTCTCCAGGATTTCTCGCGTATTGCGCGCTCTGTTTGTCAACGTGACGAAACTGGCTATACTGGCCCTGTTGCCATTCCGTGTTCCCCATGCCAGCGGGTCAAGCTGCTGGCTGATTCTCATCAATTGACGGGCAATGACGGCACATCGCACCTTGTTCTCTGCGCCTCCTTGCCGTCGGATATCTTCAAGGGACGATAACAGCCCAGTTTCGCTGAGTTCTGTCCAGCAACTTATCAAGAAGATGGTGTCCTGTGCTCGTCTCCTCTTCTTGTCCAAGTCGTCCAACTTCTCTCCAATCTGTACGGCAATGTTCCCGCCAGTATCGGGCTTTGCGTTGGCGTCGTTGCCATTTGTGCTATTAGGATTTAATGAAATGTCTAGGGCCTCAAACGACTCCATGGTTTCGTCGAGCTTGCGGCCGAGGGTATCGAGCGTCTGGTCGTGTTGGATTTCGGCCCGGCGCACCTGCGAAAGGAGCTCGGATTCCTTCTCCTGGAGCTCATCTCCAAGGACGGCAAGCTGAGATAAGGCATCTGGAGAGACATCAGTCAGCGTGAGGGCCCCCTTTCTCGCCTCCCAGAATCGGAGCCCATACTCTCAAAGCTTCTGATCAGCGGCTTCGGGTCAAAAGTGGTGGATTGAGACGGCCCCGAGCGACGGCCAGAGGGCATAGCACTCTCGGCAAGACTATCAACAAAGTCTCTGACTATGAAGTCCTTGTTGGAGAAGTCGTCGAGGGTGAAGTTGGGGCCCTTTGGGAAGATGCTCTTGGGCCCGCTGGACCGGTCCATGGTTGGCAAGCTTGCAGGGCGAAGCTCAGCGGGCTACATGTATGTCGTGTCGTGTGTTATGTTATGTTGATGTTGCAATTGAAGTACATCTGCGCCGTCCGCTCATGTGATGGTGATTCGGTGCTCGACGGTCGCCCGACACCAGGTTTGCCGTGTTGCGTCGTCGCAAAAGCGCTGTTCGATGCCTCCCCTAGAATGGCAGTCCAGCACCTTACGTGACCACTTGAAGCTGTGTAGCAGTATCATGCCTGCTGGGCCCCCGCTACGCCACACTTTCCAGCGACCTCTCGACTGCGCCACAGGCCGTCGTGGCTCGTCGGACCACTCAGGAGAGAGGACACATGCAAATCCCATCAAATCGGGTACCGGCGACAGGTACCTTTTTTTTGGCTGGACGAGACAAAGCAGCTCATTTGCATCGCCTCCCCCAACTTCCTCCTCCCATCAATTCCATTGCTGCATGGACACGTCAAGCTTGCGTCTTGATTCGCCATAAGGGCAGCTGCCACAACTCAAGGGCGCGCAGCTGGTCTCGATTCCCTCCGATCGAAATCTTTACCTACAACACCAACCGCAAACCATATAATACACCTTTGACAGCTAGCTTTTCGGCTCCCTAATTTCGACCGACCGACTGCTTTCTCCTCGTCACCTTGCTATAGTAAGCCAGTCTTTCGAGGCTGCAGATATTCAGCATGCCTATGTCAGTTAGAGACACAAAGGCGTATAGGGACGACGAGCAACAGGACCACCATCTTCTTACCGAGGCTCAGCGACAGGCCATCTTCAAGGTATGAGCAGTTTGCGCCTCGAGATTACGCGACAGCATCCCTGACAGCAGACAGGCTTCGCTTCCCTCCCCAAACGATGGGCCGGCCGCCGTGAACAGCAAGGCCTTGCAGGCACAGCGCAGATCCCGGCTCGGAGTTAGACGCTTCCTAAAAAACCAACTCTTCGTCTTCGTTTTCGCCGTCATGCATGGCATCTTCTCCCTATATATCAAGTCACGGCAGACATGGCACGGTGTGGCCTACCAGATCTCGTCCATTCTCTACTACCACCACGCTACGCCACAATACATCCGACGGGACATCACGGGGCTGACCAAGAAGCCAAAGCATCTCAGCGCAATTTTGAAGACGGAGGTCAACCACAGGGCAAAGAACGATATTGATCGGCTGATTGAGGAAACCGCCGAGCTTGCGACGTGGTGTGCTTGTGCGGAGATTCCCATGCTATCGATATACGAGAAATCAGGTGAGCTCCTCTCTCAAATTCCCACGGCCCTTCTAGGCGCCAAAGACTGACACAACCAAACAGGGGTCTTGAAGAAACACATGCCTCGGGTATACGAAGCCGTCATACAAAAGTTCACCTTCTACTTCGGCACTGAACACCCGACGCTCTCCGTGACTTCCCCCCACAAGGATGATTTCCCTACGCGAATGCTCGAAGAGAGCAGGAACGGCCATTTACAGCTTCACCTGATCTCTTACCAGGATGGAAGAGAGTCCATCGTTGACCTCACCAGAACCCTTGCCGATATGTCGCAACGGGGTAAGATTTCCCCACGGGACATTTCTCAGGAGCTCGTCGATGCCGAGCTATCGGAGGGTATCTTCCCGGAACCGGACTTGTTGATTCTTTTTACCCCCTATGTCGAGCTGTCGGGCTACCCTCCGTGGCAAATTCGGTTGACTGAGATTTTCTGCCTGCAAGACAACGAGACGTTTGGCTACCAGGTGTTCCTAAAGGCCCTGAGGAACTTTGCTTCCGCGCAGATGCGACGTGGCAAATAAATCGGCATAGAAAGCGTTGCAGATATCCATTTCCTTATAGATGTATATTCTCTCCATAATTTCTTTTTCATGCGGGCTTCCATAGCATCATGGTGCCACTCGTCTTATCCCATCGATAAACGGGACCACTTCCGACGTTATAGTTGTAATAGTTTTCTGTCCCCTCCTTGATCTTAGCCCTTCTGAAAGTTATATTAATTCTTCCTCCGTCGTCTTGGTTCTTCCCCGTGCGCTTCGGTATAGAATGGAGCCAGTTGGATTGTGTTTTCCCTCGCATCAAGATCATGTCACCACTATTCAGCGGGAATTTGATCACTCCTGTTTTGATAACGGGACTTTCTCCCTGGTTCGGAGCCGCCGGTTTGTGCTTCATCAAAAAATCCCGTCGAGCACCCAACGAAAAGGAGGCAATGACGGGATCGTGACCAAGAAATCTTTCGTCATCGCTATGGAATGCAATACTATCCGCACCAGAGGCATAATAGTTGACTAGGCAAAAGTTGAACTTGCAATCCGTTGCCGCCTCGGTGGATTGGCGCAGCTCATCGAGACATTTAGGAAGCGGCCGAGGAGGACATTTGTCATAGCGTCTATCGGGTGGTACCTTGATTCTCGTATTTGCATCTATCACGGTGCCGTTGTCGTCGAATTTGGACGTCTCATCAAGGCCAAAGACTGTTGTCCATCTTTCACACCATGAATCAGCTTGTGACTTTTTCTCATGCGTCATGAACTGTTGGATGGAAAGACTTACCTAGGCGTGCGTACCTGAGACTCGATGCCTCCTCGCTTGATTTGGTACTCTACTCTGTAAAACGGCAATTCTGCTCTTAAATGTTGAAACAGCTGACGCGCAAGGTAGTCTGGGATGTAAGGCTCGAAATACAAGAGGTCCAAGTCTGGCTCGTTGTTGACGATCCGGGCAGGGCGAGCTGGCAGGCATGATAGCTCTTTGCTTACTGAAGTGGACAGTTCAGCAATGGGAAATGGGTATTTTGGATGCTGTGACTTGAGAATCTGCACAATCGTAAGTAATTGGATACATGTTGAAATCTTGACACGCTCAGACGGACAATCTCATCTCGACTTTCTGCACTGTTTTCTTCTCCAGGGATGTCGTTACGGGGTCGCTTTGGAGCAGGTGCAAAGAATGCATCAATTGTCCGCTTCTGTGACATTGTTTTCAAAGCTAATGCCACGTCGTTTTCATCAAAAACATGTACAGAAACTATGCCAAACAAAGTGTTCAACTCGTTGTAAAGGAGCAAAGCGCGTTCACATGCTTCAAGAATCGTGACATCACAGCTTCAGCCTTGCCTTCTTGAGCTCGCGCCACACGGCTCTCGACCCACTTCACTGTCCGATCGTGTGGTGTGGCGGTGCAGGTACCGCAAAGATGTACTCCGCACGCAAAATTTCAACATCTCAGCCTTGCAACCCTGGTCGAGTGAGTAACACTGCAAGAAACGACGCTCATCTCGCAGACCAGATATTCGACATGGATGTGAGTTATACGATGATGTCGTCTCCGTGTATCAAACAGGGTGGTCTCTAATTATGAGATTTATGTGAAAATAAAGGATTCAGATAAACAGATTATGCTGAATCTCTTCCGGGCCCCTGCTGCTGCCAGAGCGGCCAAAGCACTGGATAGATCGCTTTTCTCAAACTCGCTCCCGACAGCCGCGGCTTCAATAAGAGACAACAGACTCATCTCAAAGTACCGCAAGCAACTTGAAAAGACAAAGGAGATCTTTGCGTTGGACAGATTCGATGTCTGTGCGGCGGATCCAGATGCCACCCTCGCAGCACAGGGAAAGAAGTGTCTAGTGTTGAAACCGCACATCAAGCCAGATGGTATGTTTATGAGCTGGACTGAAACAGCATTCGTTTTCTATGAGTGTGATGAAAATGAGAGATTAATTGCTAACTGATATACAAGTACCCGAAACGTGGAGCCCGGTGTTGCAGGAAGCTTCGAAGCTGGGAGAGTTGAAGATTGTGCCATATGAGGTACATGTTGGATATGATCTCTGGAGTTATCGTACGAGACACTTGAACTTTCAATTGAACATTGAAATGAATGGCAGATCTGATTCATTAAACAGTTGATGTCATGAGATCCATCCTTCCGGAGGACTTGCACGGCGAAATCCCCGTTGGTTTCAACACCGCAGGCCATGTCGGTAGGTTAAAAACTCCTTTATCTTGCTATAGAAAGTTTTCAAAGAAAGGTGAAACAAAAGCTTACAGTTACAAATAGCTCACCTCAACATTCGGGGGCAATACCTCCCCTACAAGACCATCATTGCTCAAGTCATTATGGACAAGAATCCCATAATCCGTACCGTCATCAACAAGGTCGATAACGTCGGCACAGAGAGCGAGTATCGAACTTTTAGCTACGAGGTCTTGGCTGGACCCGACGATATGCTCGTCGAAGTCAGCGAGGCCGGCTGCGTTTTCAAATTCGATTACTCCAAAGTCTACTGGAACACGAAGCTCGGCACCGAGCACCAGCGTCTCGTCAGCCTGTTCAAGCCGGGAGAGGTCGTCATTGACCTAATGGCTGGAATTGGACCTTTTGCTGTGCCTGCCGGCAAAAAGGGGGTATTTGTCTGGGCGAATGACAAGAATCCCGAGAGCTACAAGTATCTTGCCGAGATTATCAAGAGGAACAAGGTGGGCAGCGTTCCTCCCTCCATCATCACTCTGACGTTTTTACAAGGCTGACGCGCAAAGGGCAGGTCTCGGAGTTCGTCAAACCTTTCAACCACGACGGACACGACTTCGTCAAGCAAGGAACCGACCTGGTGCTGGAAGCTTCCCGGCGAGGAGACTGCGCCCTCGTTCCTCGAAAAGTATCGCGAAGCGCTCCGGGCCCGCGGCCGGAACCCATCCGGATCCCCGTGCCGCCCACGGTATCACACTTTGTCATGAACCTTCCTGCCTCTGCTATAGAGTTTCTTCACAACTTCCGCGGCCTGTACGAGGGCCACGAAGAGCTCTTCGCCCCTCACACCGAGACGAAGCTCCCGATGGTCCACGCCCACTGCTTCGCCGTCAAGGCCGACGACGCAACCCCGCTGGACGACATCTGCCAGCGCATCGACAAGGAGATTGGAGTGCTCCTCGCGCCGGGCGATGCGGACATGGACGGCCAGATGCTGATCCATGAGGTCAGGGACGTGGCCCCGGCAAAGCGAATGTTTTGTGCAAGTTTCCGTCTCCCGCCCTCAGTCGCCTTTGCTCCGCGATCCTAGGCCGATCGGTTCCCCCCTCTGGCCGATCCAGCTCGTTCCGGTCCGGCCTTTTTTCTTCTTCTTTCATCATGGAACGTAAACCCAGCCCTACAGTACGGGAAGGCGCGACGCCTCATTCTCGCTCTGCCTCTTAGGTAATGGAAAACGTACTCGCTACAATGCTCTTGTCGATACCCACACGGAGTAACTGATCGGCAGCCGAGAGATTTCAAGAACAAAGGGTGCGGATATGAACCTTATCTTTCCCAAAAGCCCGGGCTTGCGGGCGGCCGCCATGGCGACAAAAGCATGAAGCCCGGCGTGCCGTTCTAAGCCTACTCCCAAACGCCATCTCCTTTTTCTCTTGTATCAGTGCCTTTTGCTTTTTTATCCAAAAAAAGACAAGCGGGCGGTTCCCATAAAATTCCCATATCCTCCTCGAATCAATTGATAACGCAAATTTCCTGTTTTTTTGTTTTATTTTATTTTTTACCCTGCATGTTCAACCCGGTTCAAAGGATGGTGGACGAACCGGATGAGAGCACCGTACCAGAAGCTAGTCCAGCACGTTCCTCAGCTGTCATGGATAATGGATCAAGCGGAAAGCATAAATCTTCGCTCATGGCTTATGAAATCCCTCTCTCTCTATTATTCTTTATATGGAGTTTTTTTTTTTGTTGTTTTTTTTAATCCACGCTAGGGGGATGAGAGAGATGGATGACAACGAGGACGGAACTTGACAGGATTTGGCGGCGCTTCCCATCCTTGGCCTACCTTACACCGACAAGTTGCTTTGTAGCCAGCAGCTTCTTTTTTTTGCCGATGGCCCTCTTTTAAGCATCCCGCTTATCAGGGCTACGCATGGTGCCCTGTTCTTTACCCTTTTGCGGCAATTGCAGGACAATGTGTAGCTGTTCCAACGAGGTGAAGAACCAAAAAAGTTGTTGATATTCTCAGCGCTACCAGGAGGGAGCTCACATAACAAAAGACAAACAGTCTTTCCACATCCAGCCCAAAAGAAAAGATTAAAAATAGAAACCAAAAATTCAATAAAATAAAAATAAAATGTCAAATCCCACAAAACGCCAAAAACGCCAAAAACCAATCCCGCAAAACTCATGCATCACAAAAAAGAAAAAAGAAAAAGCTTACCCAAACAGCTGTCAGTTCATACTTCGTCATCCTTCCTCTCCCCTCACTTAAGCTCACGACATCACCCGCGGGATCACGGATGCCAAGTTACCCAGCCATGTAACAGTTCCAGATATCTGAATTTTCCACCTTCCCTCCATCCTTTATTTTCGTATCAAGAAACATCCAAGCCACCACCATTCTCTTGTTTTCTGCAAGCCACTCACCCGCACAGTTATCTCTCTGCCCGCAAGGTCCCCAGACACTTGAGCTCCGACAGCCGGGGCTAAAAGTTCACAGGCTTTGAGCCCTGGGAAAGGTTTCATCCCAGCTTCCTCCAGCAGTAGTAGATTTACGTCCATTGTTTTTTTCTCCAGATAGATGGCGATTGCTGCTAAACACATTTCTCAAGCCCTTTCCAAACCTAGCCATCCTACAGTAGCAGCAAGGCAGAAGAATTCACGGCCGGCCGATAGATAGCTCGACACCCCTCCATCAAAAGAGACGCCAGGTCCGTCACTTTTTTTTTCGCCACCGCTGTTTACTAGCTACTGCAACCAGCAAAAAAAAAAAAAAAGTCCAGGGGACCACGTTCACCACCACTCGCACGAAGAACCAGCTGTATGT